AAATTGTAGCGTATTTTACGCAGCTATTATATCCATTTAATACTATTCACAGATAGATAATACTATAAAAACTAGATGTTTGTCATGAATATACAAGTCCTACTTCTTTTGTCCATTCTAATTGAAACTCTTTCTATGAGTAGCTCTATCTATTTCAATGAAAAGTACAGCTAACTTAATTTATGAAAATGTACCAGCACTAATTATTATTAAACAATATCAAGGTTACTATAATTCAAGTGAAACAACAGTATACTTGCGTAGTTTACGGAGCTAATTATATCCATTTAATACTATTCAAAGGGGTTTCTAAAAGGTTTCATTTTTTAAAGCTTCTTCATTTTCATAATTAATGATGAGGGTTATGTTCACTTTACTTGTAATTAATTTATAGGCAGCAAAAATTTGATTACTAAAACTAATATTACCATACGGAGAATTTTATGTTACTGCAATATTTGTATCGACGAGAGTTCGAAATTATTTTTTAACCACAACACCTCTCGTAAATCAAACAAACTACACACGATCTATAAAAATATCTAATCTATAAAACGAACAATTTTAATTAATATGCAGAAAATGCGTGGAATTTATATATTCCTGATAAAATTGAATATTTTCGAAACCCCTTGCGAACAGGCGACGCACAACTGGAGAATTTTCAAATTCTACGTACTTTTTCGCTCGCTGTAAATCGCGTTAGAGAGTGCAGTGTAACGATGCACGAAAACGCACTCGGGCGTTCCCATTCACCGCGATTCATTTGCAAATTAAGAATGCCATCGACTTGATGCGTGCACGCATTCTTCATTCGTGGATGATTAAGGACAATTCGCGGAATTCCGGCGATTCGCTCGATCCCGGGGTAATTACTAGAACCGGGAAATAGGCGGCGGTCACTGTGAATCTCTCCGGCGTGAAAATATTTTTCGCGTGCCTCGTGCGTTTTGTCGCGGCTCTGTGCACTTCGGGCTCGATTTTAATCATATTAAACTCGAAGCATTCGGCTCTTTCAGCGGGCGGTAATATTGACAAAGAGTCCCGGAATTTCATATAACACGATGGCGTGCGTCCTCGTGGAAATTCATTCACGGAGTTTGCGAATCGCTGCCGCGTTAGAGAATTGAACTCCGTGGGGCCGGGCGTGCAAACACGCCTGCGCGAACGTCACGGAATACTCATTAACTGAGTGTCTGTCAACGGATGAGCATTTTTTCTCCTAGCTTTGACAAATTGCTGGTTTTTTTTTTTTTTATTTTAAATTACACCCGTTACGTTCCGCCGAAATGTATTTTGGAAGGGGTACGGGTTTGAAGATTTCATATTGTGGATACAGGAAGTAGACATGGAAGAAGTGGACATGGAAGGTTTTAAATTGCTCTGAAAAGGGAAAAGAGGAATTCAGTGACTTGATTATTTTATGGATAGAAATTTTGAATTGTGATGAGATAGAAATTTCGGTGTTGGTAGGCAGTCATTATTTTTATTCTTATTAGTTATTCTATAGCCAGACAATAAAAACAGAACACAAACAAAATTTCACCTGGATTGGATCAAGATAATAGAAGTTGCAGTGAAATCACAAATTAAAATTTGTATAAATTGAGAAACTCGTATTCTCCATTAGAATATAAACAAACAAAATTTCATTGTTTATACTGAAATCACTAACACACAGTCGTTGAAGTTTATGTTGGCAGTATTTAATAAGAATTGTAGCTGATATTTTTGCGAATTGAATAGCCTATATTTATTGTGGGAATATCAGAAGCGCCTGAAAGAAATTTCTTATTAATTGGACCCAAACAATAAATGTTGTAAGGAAATCATAGACATACCAACTTCCGATCTTACATTGGTATTACCTACATAATCTCAAACTAAATAGCTTATACCTATCCTGTGAACATAAAGAGCACCTGAACGAAATTTCATATAGACCAAGCAAAAATAATAAAGCTCAAGGAGAATCAGAAACTGAATTTTACTCTAACATTCCAGAATCTCCCAAAAAAAGTCTCTTCAAGCTTCTCAGTTCACGACTTAAGACATCTCGAAATAACTCCAACCCTCAATTCCTTCAGTTACATTTACCAATCCCCGAAATGCCCTCTCGCATGCACAGAACATGTTTTTCCCCGAAAGAAAGGAATTGAGAATCACGTAGCTAAATGCGTCCCGCCATCAGCATCCCATTTGCCAAAGGATCGTGATCGGCGTTTCGGAGATTCGTTCCGCAAACAGTTCGGCTGGGAATTATCTTCTTAGGGAAGAGACATCGTAAACTGGGTCGAATGAAAGCGTAGGACGTACACGTGTCTTTCCGTGTGTACTCGACGCGAGTGGATGTGTGCGCTCGTGGCTTTAGAAATCCCCCACCGATCGGAATCGGAATCATGGCTCAGGAGTGGTTACGATTAGGTTTGTTCGAACCGCCTCGAAGTTTGCAAATTACGTCGAACCGTGTTTGGACTCGCAGCTGGCCGAACGACGTTCCCTGCACGCCCGTATCCTTTCACGGGATTCGTCCGTGCGCAGGACGCTGCGATCCTGGCACAGGAGTCAATCGTGGCCGTGGAATTCATGGGTCTCGAAGTTAACGCGCAATCGGGCTCGTCTTTTGTCCACCGTTCGGAGTAATTACAGGATCAACTGCGTCGGCCATTGGGCGCACGAGGGAGCCATCGATACCGTGAAATTCGCGTGAATGTGTCGGGAACTTGGTCACCAGGGTACCAGAGGTGAGCAAACTGCTCTCTGAGTGGAAGATCAAGGCTCTAGATTTATCTGTGGAATTAGTTTAGATTAGTAAATTTTTCAGCGGCATTAAGGGACGATCTTTGCAGGTGTAGAGGTCTGAATTTAAAAAAAAGTATCAACTTATAGGGGATTATGAGACGGAACTTTTTTATGTTTACAGTTTATTCATAGGACGCTTAGTTTCAAAAATAAAAATTCAATACTTGGAAGACCTTTTCCCTGAAATTCAACTTTGCGACGAACTTCTGACATTTCAATTTTTATTTTCGAAACTATACGTTCTATAAATAAACTGCAAATATAAAAAAGTTCCATCTTATTAGTCCCTGTAAGCTGATATTTTTTAGAAATTGATTTAACGAACATGTACATTTCTCTGAGCCCATTTCTCGACGACGTACATACATATACGTCTTTCGCAGTCAAAGGGTCAAGAACTCATCCCTTTATCTTAACTCCCATTTACTTAGTGTTCCACAGCGAGTCACGCTACACAACGAAGGATTAAAAACAGCCAGGAATCGAGTTGGTGAAAATCAGTTTACTCCTACAAAGAGTCCCAGTTCAAGTTCTCGACAAGACCTTGTCGTCGACAGTTTCCAACGAAGAATTCCGTCTTCTTTGGAGTGCATAATCGCGAGGAGGGGGGTATGTCGCGTCGCAGTTGTCGATTAATCCCTCGTAATTCCCGCGGTCCTCGTCATCGAATTTCCTCCGATTTCCAGGGGCGAAATTGTCGCCGCGCTCTCGTTTCGCCCTAGATACATCGTATCTCCTCACCGCCATCTTAACGGACTTATCGTGTAATGGCCTCCACTCGGTGGTGGCTCTTCAGGTTGATTTCTATCCTCGTTTTTCCGTCTACGCTCTGGCGAATCGAACTTTTAAGCGGCCAGGGGAAACCCGCTGCGAGAACCGTTGCCTCGCTGATTTTAATGAAACTCCGGAGAACTCGAGCAGTCGCCTCTATTGCGACCCCCGGCACTCGTCCTTCCGTCACGTTAACTCGCATTTCCGCCGACTAGGATCTTTTAATGCACTTCTTCGGGACGGTGTCGATTGTGGACGCTTCGCCAGTAACAAGAGGAATCGCGTTGAACTGGTAACAATGACTCGGGACGATTTCATTGGGGAGGGTAGGTAGATCATGCAGATATTACCTCAAGTTTTCATACAATTGAAGAAGAATATTTCTTTGGTAATTGTGTTATGATTAGCGTGCGGATTTGTATGCATTTATAGGAAATTTGAATGTGCAAGAAACTACAAAATGCACACAGTATGCAAGAATGTAAAAAATATCGAGAGTAAAGTTCGTATTATAATAAATGAATTCCTATAAAATGAATTCCTATTTATAATAGGTTCAATTTTTGTAGATTTTATTCTGCCTAATGATCCGCAGTCTAATTATGATATTGTAGGACAACAGAAGTGTCTGTAGTTATCATTCTGTAGCTCGTTTTGGTTCCAGACGTTTTGAAAATATTTTTTTTTTCTTTATCTGCTTTATGTCGCATCGACCACGAGGTGATTAAGGACAAATATTGACTGTTTGAGTAGAGATTGGTTTTGTATTACATTTTTATGTACATATTGATATCTTTGGGGAAGTCTATTATGTTTCTGATGCATTCTTGCATTGTTAGTACCGAGTCTGGTTTGAATCGTTTCTCTTGTCTTTTCCGTTCAATTTCTTTACTCTCATATATCTAAAAATATTTACTTTGTCTTTAACAATATTGTATAGAAGGGTTAGATTCAGTAAGATTGAAACCCTTTTGAGATAAAAGAAAAATGACAAACTTTCATTTAGAGTGAAGCAAAGTTGCAAAAGTAACAGACCTTTTAGCCACAATTTATTTCTTCGCGGAAATTTGTATCATTTTGGTACTTCGGCGAACGCATGCAAGCTCTCAGAGGGTAGAACCGTCGCGGTATAATATTGTTAGCGTTCCGAAGGATCCGAAGAGCCTCTCCCAGACCGAACTCGTCCGAATTGTCGCTAATCGGATACAATTTCAGTAGGGAGGGATCCGCCCCGAACGATATCGAGCCACTTGCTACTTCTCCCAAAGCTCTTGCGGGAAAGTACGTCAATTTCCGTTCGCGATGGCGATTCGTCGAAATTCCGCGCGCTTAGAAACCGCCGTACCGGAAATTCATCGTTCTGACTCCGTTTCCCCTTCGTTTATCTTGTCGGCCGTATCGTTCGCGAGTGTCTTCCGATATTACAGATATTTTCAGACGTAACACGCCGCCAGTCCATGGCGGATAAGACGGATCAAGCGTTACGGCGAAGCCAGAGGTGAGGGGGATGTTTTGAAAAGTGGAGAGGATATGAGAATTCCGCGTGTCGGAATTATTATTGTTATTTCTGGTTGGTATTCCGCTGCAATACCGAATCACTTTTCCTTGAGATCTTCTCTCCTTCTGAAGGATGAAATCATGCTGAAATTAAACAATGTTGCGTTTTATGTTCAGGCAGAAAATGTAGTCTAATATTAAATTAAAAACCTAGGTGTCTGTGATATGTATAACTTTCACTATTTTTGTTGAAACCGATATTTGTGTTTTTGTTGCCCTTTATGTTCAGGCAGAATATGTAGTCTGCTTAACTTAAAGAAATATTAATTATAATAAGTTCTATGTTAATAAACATTTGTATACAATTTTAAAACTAAATCTTTGCGATGTCAATATAAGTCCTACTCCTTTTGTCTATTCTAAGTGAAACGCTTTCTATGAGTAGGTCTATCTATTTCAGTGAAAAGTATAGCCAAATTAATTTATGACAATGTATCAGCGCTAATTATTACTCTTAACAGGCAATAAAATCTTCACTTAGAATGTATAATAGTTTTTCAGCAAATCCTCTACATAAAAATTCCACCATAAATGAATAGAACTATAAAACAATTATCTTCAAACCTCGTCCATTCGTCATGCTCAAGGTATACTCACAGAGATATATTCACGTCATAATAACGAAACGATCTCAAACTATAGAGAGCTATAAATCTTTTCCAGCTTCCTTCAAATAAAATGCTCAAGAAAACTTCTTAAAATCAACACAGATCAAGAATCCTTCAATCCTCGCCTTATCAACAAATCATAGCGTCCGCCAACGTCGCACCGTTGTTACGATAGAAAAATATTAAAGGTGCAACGATGGAAACGCAACAAAAAAGAACATTTCGTAATTATTTTTTGTTTGCGTTGTGCGCGGAAATTCGAGACGACGGGATTTCCAACACAGGCTCGCCAAGCTGAAAGTCGCACGGCCGGGCGTTACACGGGTTTCGCTTCGAACTTTGGCGCAAAAACAAAACGCGCGCTGATTTCCCGGCCCCGTGCTTTCATCCGCATCGCTTTTCGCTGGCTCGTGAAAAATAAACGAGCCACTGCGACCGGGTGCAACGTTGTTCCGGGTCATTAAACTGCACCGGTTCGCAAGTTTTTCGAGGCCGCGCACACATCTTCGGCGCGCCGTTACTCAGAGGGCGTGCAACAACAAGCGGGTAGCAACCCGCTCAAGCAGGCGTGAGAAGATCGAGAAACAAAGTGGGGATCGAGGCGTTTCGGGTCTAGGGAAATGGAGCAACCGGGGCCGGGGGTTGGGAACTTTTTTGAAACGAGCGAGATACGGTTTCGGTGCGATGGAATTAACAAGGGAAACGCTGGCGTTATGTCGATTTTAATTTACTGTGGATGCCAGGGATTGCTGGCCCTTGATGCTGTGTGCGATACGTTAAGGGTGCTGCGGAGTATGCACAAGCTTTTTCTAAATTAATTCTTCGTGGATCAGAAAAGACTGTGCCATTTTGCAATCTGGAGGCTTCGTTATTGGTATAAAGACTGTGCCGACAGTGTGTTTGTGATTCATTTGTAACTGATGGTATTTTTAGAATGGGTTAGATGGCACTTTTTTATGTCAATCTTCTCGTTTTGGAGACAATTATAGACTATGCCATTTTAAGAAATATTCGTTATAATTCTTATTATATTGGTAAAAGATTTAAGATCTGCGTGTCTTTGAAATCTCTATAACTCCTACTATGCTGATGTCATCTATATGGAATTGTGTTGTGTTATTCTTCATATTTTTTAAGCAATCTGACTACTTCATTTTTTTTATTTTATTGATATAAGGTTTAAGATCTTTCTGTTTGTGATTGTGATCTTCATATCTCCCACTATCTTTATTCAATCCAGATGAAAGTTTCTTTCATTGCTCTTCATATTTCAAATGTCAGCATAAGCCACTTAATTTGCGAGAATACTATGTATAATTAATAACACACAGATAAAAATCCAACAGTTCGGATAGTAAGAAAAACATTTCCCCAATGACCAAACCATAATTATTTTCCCTAACTTTGAGCACAGAAAGAACAGTAGAAATTTTCCGCCCGGTTGAAACTTCCTATTTTCAATTCTAGCTCATCGTGAACCGCGTGAGTCAGAATTTTCAGAGAAAATACGATGATTCGTGTCATTTTCGACCGCATAAAAACCACCCCTGTCCGCATAAATTCTACAACCGTCGCCAGGATTCCGCCGATTATTTTTGTCCCGTTATTCCAAAAGCTAATAGAACGCAGATAAAGCTTCCCACCCCGGCGAAAGTTCGCCCCGAACGAAATTTCATTTCACAGTCCGTCCGACTCGAGCAAGTATTATCGTAAATTTCCCACCCCCGCGGGCCACGTATCACCTGCGATCCTCCATTGCTCATCTTCGTCGTCCCTCCCCGTTGTCTTTGGCCACGTCCTCGCGGAAACATTTCTTTCCCGCGGGCCGATAAATCAACGGGACCCGACCGACACCTTGGTCATCAATAACTGCGGTGCTTAGGCTTTTTCTTAGCTGGCTGCAGCGACGGAATATCGAAACGGGAGGCGGTGGTCCCCACCCCTCATCAACCCTGTTTCTCTATTTTTCTGAATTGGAGTCGCCTACGTCTTTGTTTTTTCTGTGTAACACATTCACTAGCAACTACGAGACGTCTCATAGTTCAAATTGATTGCAACTAGTCAAGGGAGAAGTTTATATATTATTTATTTATTATAGCCTTTTCTTTTTGAAACGACAAATTTAATATCACTTTTTATTATCAAAATAATAACCTAGATTACACATCTGTATTAAATCTCGGTGCCCAAGGCAAAACGCTTAAAATTTGTCCAGCAATGAATGGATTAATATGAGATACTAAAACTATATACAGAGAAGATTCATTGATATTGCAGCACTAACATTTCAAGTAATGTTTATAATTGTTAACCTGTGTTAAATTATTAGAAGTAAAGAAAAAATTCCTCGACATCAACCACTTTCACCCCCAACACGAACCCTCTCCCCAATTCTATTACATACTTTAATGGAGGTCGACGAATGAATATCCTCAGGTGAACAGGAATGTTTGACTTTTTATGGAGTAGATCTCGCTTATTGAATACCTTTTTCTATTGTGAGAGAGAGAGAGAGAGTGACTTGAACATTCTTGCACACATAGTGTACATATACTGTACATGAAGGGTTTTCCATAGAGAACTTTACGATTTTATTTTTTCCAATATTCAATTTGAAATGTATACTTGAATTATTCACCACGCATTTTCTTACTAAACTTAAACTCCTAAAGTAATTTTGATAAACGCTTTGTTCCGTCAAACATTAACTTTTATTCAAATATCGCCAAACAATTAATTATCAATCTTCTAATCATCGCTCCATCCAGGTGAAAATTCTAATTTCGCCCCCTCTCCCTTGATTCTCCGTATGGATGAACATCGAATCAATTCTCTGGCGCTTTCCAACATTTGTCCCGGAGCAAGGTATAATGAACGCCCCAGCGTTCGGATCGATCGGAAATTATAATTCCAAAATCGAGTCTAATTCGCCATTGTCCGTAACGCGTCGATGAATCGATGGTTAATCATCGTTGCCGCGTTTCCCTCCGAATGTAGAACAAACAATCAAACGATCCACCGTTTGAGGGCACGTCTCGCAGACTCTATCGCGGAACGTTGTTGCGAATGTTGTTACCAAAAGCGATCCTTTTGTTGCCGGTACGTTCGTAAATAGATCGTTCATTACCAAAGAGAACAGTTTCGACTCCCCTTTTAGGCGTTCGACGATGCGAACGTTTAGGGGAACACGCGAGCGTGTTCGTTCGACTATAGCGCGCGGGGGAAAATTTATTAAACCGGTATCGGTCGATATGGAAATAAATCGAGAACGCCAAAAGCGGCATCGAGTCGTAAATAACGCGCGACAATGGAAATTTATGTTAATACGCCGGCGTAGCCGAAAGGATAACGAAATGAAATTTCCCTCCCTCGAACGGCGTATTTCCATATCCCGTCGTCGCGCATTTGCGAAACGTCGACGATGTAACTTCGCCAACGAATTTTGAAGAGCACTCGACGTAATGAGGCTAATTAAAGCACGAGGGAAGCATTCAAACTCGGTGGGCTATTCATCGTGAAAAATTAATTTTGGGGAACGTGATTAGAATTACGGGATAATTGATGTTTATTTGGTGCGATGTAGCGGACAACAGAAATGGTTAATTTTAGGGGTAGCCACTCCTCATTCTTTGGGAGGGGTGCAGCAGTATTTGAAAAAATGAAATATACACAATAAAGGGACAAATAGGTTACTTTAAATTAATTTGAAGTACTATAAGCAGTGCTTATCAGTAATTAGAATAGCGCGGGAAAGAAGGCTTGATTTGGAAGAGTATTATAGAGAGTACTAATACTAAACATTCAGTGTTAGGACCTTCCTGTATCATTTGTATTAATTATTAATCCCACTTTGGAGTGTATTTTCCTGTTTTCTAAGGCTCCTGTGTTTATATTAGAGATATATTTTACTCCCTGAAGATGATCGTATGTATTCTTGGACTATGCGCAAGGTGGATGTACATGAGATTTACTATCAACTGCCATAGTGTCTCTACGTTGCTTTATGGAGCAATAGCGTGTTTCCACGCATAGCAATAAAATAATTCAAGTGTCTGAGAAAGGATTGAGCAATATACTCAATAAAACAAAGTCTTTGTGTTATTACAATGCAGTAGCTTCAACAGAAAAAGGAGAACTCAACACACTACAAATGATTCGTGAACCACAGTGAACAAAAATATAGCCCTTTTGGCTGAACTCAACTCCTCCATTAAAAGAGGAGACACCTGAAATGGGTTAATTGAGACACTAAAACTAAATACAAAAAAGATTCACTAATATTGCAGCATTAATGTTCTTTCATTTAATGACTGGACGCTGGATGTTCACGCTGGGTGAACATTGAATTTAATTTCAAGTAATGTTCTTAGTTGTTAATTTGTTTGAAATAATTAGAAGTGCAGAAAAAATTCTGACCATCGACCACTTCCACCCCCAATTCTACCGCTCTAAGATATAATAAACTAGCAAAACTGGTAACTTCCTGGTGACGCACGATCACAGACGTTTCAATGCGAAGAGTATACGAAAGACAAGTGCATCGGAATTTTCCGCATTCGAAATGACTTCTCATGCATACAGTCCGTCGATGGAGCCAGTTTTCAAATATACCTTGATATAACCAACTCTCCCCATCGATTGACTCGATGCGTCAAAGGGTGACTATAATTTTTTTTCCACCGTCGAATTATTCTCCTTCATCGAAAGCCAGGCGGGAACGGACGATGCCAATTTGCCTGGGAATTTACTTTGCGCCGGAACAAAAAAGGCTCCCTCTTTCAGCCGTATTCGACGCGGATAAGAGAATACGGACGTTCCATAAAAATCGTACGTGAACTCCCATGGAATCGATGGACTTCCACCACCCCCCCCCCCTCGTTCGAGTGGGTACTTCGTTTTAAAAGCTCCGCGGAGCGAAATTAGAACACATCGGCACGGGGAGAGACCGAAACGAAACGAAATCTCGTTGCTCGTTCGATTTGAAGCGCTGGTTATTATAGACTCGAGTCGTTGCTCTTCGTTTTTCCACAACCCCCACATCCACCCCCACTCGACATCTTGCCCTTACGGTCGGATCCTATTTCATTTACTTCGCTCTTCTACGCGAACCCGCCGAAATACTCCCGACGCCGAGAGGAATAATTTAACAATCGCTTGGGATATCTGGGGAATATGACGATCGAGGTTGGGGCTTGAAATGAACCCTTTCTACTAAAATGTTGTGGGAATCAGCATGTTAGACTTTTGCTCGTCCATTTACAGAATTGTGCGAAGGTGGAGAAAAGTGAGCTGTGGATTCTTAGGGTGGTGGAATTGGAGAGAGGGTTGGTCTTGGGGGTGGAAGTGGTTGATGTGGAGGAATTTTTTCTGTATTTTTAATAATTTAATACAGGTTAACAACTATAAACATTACTTGAAATGTTAGTATTGAAATATTAGTGGATCTTCTTTGTAAAATGCTGGATAAAATTAGCGGAACACTTTTTTAAATGTTCATAATTATGAGAGTTATTAACCGATTTCGGTGAAACTTCGCGAGGAGTAGTCTTCAAATGTCTTCTGGGTGTGTACAAAATTGCATTTATCAGCCCGGACTGAATCCAATAGAACGTGGACTGATCACGTACGGCTGCAGGATCTCGCTTCGCTTCCGTATGCCGGCTTCGTCCGGCCCACTTGCTGCTCTTTTAAATCTGCCTCGATTATAACATATTATTATTGTGCAATTTATGTATTTAGTTTAAACGTTTTAATTATAGTATCCCATAATCCTATATCCTATAGTTATAGTATCCTATGGTACCCTTGATACTATTATTTACTTGCCTGGAACCGCAAGTTAACTACCAGCATGCAATTGTTACACAATTATATTTCTGGCCAGTACAGCAATAAATAAAACAAACGTTTAAGAGTATCTTACAATGATCATGACAATCTATTAGATAATTCAAATTCCGTTCGTCAATTTGAATTTTATTAGAATCGAATCGGACGATTCCACGCCGAGCTACATGGTACAATGAGAGTAATATTTAATAATTATATATTTAAGAAAAAACAATTGTTTAAGAGTATCGAACAATGATAGTAACTACCTATTAGATAGTAGAAATTCCAACCTTTAATCTCCATTTTGTTAGAATCGAATCGGACGATTCTGCGCCGAGTTAGGCACTTCAAAGTCACATAAATTGTTATAAAAAAAAACAATTGTTTAAAAGTATCTGACAATAACAATAACTATGTATTAAGTAGTAGAAATTGTGACCTTCAAATAGAATTTTGGTAGAATCGAATCAGACGATTCTACGCTGAGCTATGACACCTCAAAGTTTCCTATATTATAGATAATTATAAGAGAAGAACAGACGTAGCGACCTATTACATACAGCGTCCTTGCAAGGCCGTTCCAATTCCGAGAAATACTAGTAAACATTGTAGTATTTCCCGAGTGGCCCACCCCTCTAAATTCCTTGACATAATAGTAAACATTGTAGTATTTCCTGGTTGGGATTAGCTCTCGCAGTTGTTTAAAAGAGAAACATTTATATCCACTTTTCCTGACGATCGATTTTGATGAAATTTGGTATACAGGGGTTTCTGAGGTCGCTGACTCCAAATCTGAACTCAAAATTTAGATATTAAGAACGACGGATCCAATGTAACAGAACAAAATGCGAAAATAATTTGTGATACTAAACTTATCCCTTGAGCAATTGCAAATAATAAGAATTAATTGAGATACGTTTACAGTCAGTCCCGTAAAAATTCGTACCCTGTATGTCTATCGAAGAAATTTGTTGAAATTAAATGATAGGTTTGATGTTTCCAAGTGTGTATTTGTATAAATATGTTGATATATACATAAACATATACATATATAAACTTATTCATTAATATACTTATAATGAAAAATTCATTTGGTAATATCAAAACTATTATTTAATTGAATCAAACTTCTTCAATAGTCATAGAGGGTACGAATATTTACGAGGTTTAACAAAAGTTTCATTAAAGACATGCAATAACATTTTGACTGTAAATATCGCTTTCAAATTCCACAAAAAACAAGTATAAACCAATATTGAATATCAAACAAATGAAACAACAAAAGCGAATCACCCATTATTATTTTCCCATAATACGAAGACGACCTAATTCTCGAAATCTCGTCTCGAAACGCCACTAAACCGCCAGCGAATATTTGTCGAATAACACGCTCGAGGAACCATTTCGTAGAGCTAATGGCCACCAACGCCAACGTCGCGAGACACTTGGTCACCGCATGAAAATTCATAATCGCATTGTGTCGAAAAATTCTTTGTATACACACACGTATACGAGCACTTTAGATTAAAGCTTTCATCGAGCACTTTGTCCGTCGGGATGCTTGGGAAACTCGATTAGTTCCGCAGCTCGAAAGGGATACACGACTTTTGCGGTGCTTCAGTCAAAGATAAAGCCAATGCGAAGCGAGTTTCTGCTGTGCGCAGCTACTGCGGCCGTTTGATTAAAGCTCAGCACGAACCCGATTAGCTTTTTGTGATATCTCTCGACGGGCGTGGATAACAGGAAGAGGCACCATCCTACTGGAAGCGGCTCCCAGGGCAGAGGCACCGGCGGCTATCTCAGTGGTGGAAAAGTCGCTGCGGATCGAAACGATCGCGATGCAAACTTCGTTTGGCGAATTATCGCGACGGAAAATATTGACCTGAATCGGTTTAACCTTTGACATGTCGATACTTTATTAGTCGGCTAGTAAGGAGAAAAAAAGTAGAACGATTTCTGACACATGTAGTCACATGGGAGCTGTGGTTTCTTGCTTTGAAATGGTCTCTGCTCGTGAATGTTGTAAATTGATTCTCGATTAATTGTCTTCGAGACAGTCTGAAATAGATTTAATAAAAATAAATGAGTGTATAATATACATAAAGAGGGATAGGAAGGACAGGAGGAGTGAAGAATGTTTGAAGAGAATCATCTTGGAATTGAAGAATAATTTAAAGTATGGCAATATCTGTGGAGGCTTCATATATTGATTGTACAGATAAGAAGTATATTGTTAATTTAGATTCAGCTCTATAGTTCTCTTTAGCTATCGAAGTACAAAGTAGAAACCATCCTGTGCTTTCAAGGCATTTATTAAAGGAAGATATAATACACGAAGACAAGAATCGATTACCTGTGAGTACTATGAACATTTCTGGAGTATCATTGAAAAATGTTTGAAGAAAATAATCTTGGAATTGAAGAATAATTTAAAGTGTGGCAATATCTGTGAAGGCTTCATAAATTGATTGTGCTGATAAGAAGTATATTTTTACCAGTCGAGACCTACACACTGCGTCTATTACCTGAACGTTCTACATAGTATCACAGACACATAACTAACCCATCCTGATCCGTATCTACGGCAATACTATACCTACATCAGATAAAATAGTGTCCTGGCCAACGTCAAATCGATCATTTTTAGCACTTCGTGTCAGGTATTTCGATAAACTTGAAATATGAGTTCATCTTTCTTTATCTCCATCAAGGTTTCAAACTCTTCCACAAATATTTGTAGTGCAAATTGATCACCTCTACGAATTCTTCATCAATTTTTCTGTAAGGTTTCCCTTGTTTTCAAACTGAGAAATTCAATAGAAATTTTTCGCTCATACATGCGTTATCAAACATACTAGTCAAGTAATCACAAACATATACATTTATCAAAAACAAATACATAATTCAAAATAAACGCGTGGTCCATAAAATAATTATCAAGCACCATATTTTTCACTCCCTTATAATACAAACTCGAGATGAAGTCAACGTTATAAACGACGCAGTAGACTCAGAAACGATCGTTCTTCGAGTTCATTGGACGCCGTTGTCCGGCGCGTAAATTCACAAATGTCTTCTTCGCGTGCCCGTATCGACTGGCAGTGGCCGAATGGGGGTAGACACGAATCACGGTGGGCCGTTCCTCTCCCCCTCGAAAACTGTTAATCATCCGACGATCTCTGGACGTCGATGCATCATCCGCCCATCTATTGGTCGGTCCACTGATTGCAGCGCGAGCGAGTTACAAATCAAAGTCACAATTCCGCGCGGATACTGACAGTTCCGCTGGCGTTGGATGAAGATGCAGAAATACGTGAACCGACGTCCCGGTTTAGGGGCCGTGGGAGGGATTGAACGTTTGCGATACACGGAGACAGTTACAGGGAAACGCGTACCGCGCTACGCAAAGCGACAAAGACGGGCGAGGATAGACAAATATGGGAAGAACAGTGACGGAGGACCATCCGAGAGGGGCCAAAAGAGACCAATGGCACCCTCCCCGCATAAATCCTACGCAATGTCGACGCATACATATTCATACGGGGGCAAAACCAACACACATTAATGCGCCAGCGATATTAACGCAAACACGCGCAACGGACGTCAGTGGAAAAGCAATAGAGGAGAGAGCGCAAGAAGCGCGAGACTCGGTGGCGCATCCAAAGTGACGCAGGGGAATAATTGACCATCCTGATATAAATATGCATTTCTTGTTAAGCATTGCAATTGGCCTCACGTGTCAAAATTGAACCGAACTAATTTTGTCAAACGTGGGTGCACCTAGATGGTTTGATTTCTTTAATGCTCGTCGAACTATGCTTACCACAATTGACTCGGATCAGGGTATTTCGATAAAACTTTATATTTACGTTCTATATTCCCATCTCAATGTCTCATTAAATTTTCACCAAAATCGTCCCATGAATATTGATAACTACCCCTTGTATCCCTATCGATTTTTCTCAAATACATGCACTATAGTTAAAAATTTGGAAAAATGTTCTATAATAAAGTTAAATAAACATTGCCTCTATCTCTCCTAATAACAAAACAATCATATAAAGTTTCAGCTTTTTCAGCCCCTAATTATTCTATCTTTTTTCTGCGACCTTTCTAATAATTACTTACCCCAATTCTGTCAAGTAATACTTCACTTAGGTGGGAAAATATTACGACGCAACCGTCGCTGAATTCCTGCCCGAGACTCACGGGAACTTATAAAGTGGCGCTTAGGGAGAGGGCGGGGTGGGCAAAACGGTGAGCAGAAACGTAAGAGCGGTGACTGTAACGTTCTCTGCTCGTAGCTGAATGCCAGAGTGGATTCGGGCGAGCGCGTTCATTTGATATACAGCTAATTAGAGATCGAAATCTCGGGTCGCCTGTGCGCCGACGTGAATGTGCGAAACGGTGCGCCGGCCAAGTTGGTCGGTCGTGCTCGTGTGTGTTCAATGTTCATAGGTTGCTGCGCGCCTCTCCTAGCGTCAGAAATTATGGCGGAATGCGTGGAGCCGAGGAGGGCAAAAACTGTAACATGCAGGAATGGATGCAATGTTACTGGTTCACGAAATCGTCGCGACAGTGGTAACATTAAACGCATGCAACGTCACATAAACTTAGGATGTACTAGACTGATACTGCGATTAAAATAAATCTAGTCTACTCGAATGTATACTTTCGTAAGTAGACTGCGGATCTTTATGCACTTATAGGAAATTTTAATGCGCAAGAACCTACGAAATGCAGACAATATGTAAGAATATAAAAAAGATTGAAAGTAAAGTTCATGTTATAATATTTGCAGAATAAAATAAATTCCTATTTAAGTTCAATTTTTGTAGGCACGTTCGCGAAGATTTTATTTTGCATAATGTTCCGCAGTCTATTCGTAAGTGTAAACATTTTTGTAAGTTTATTTACTCCCTGAATTCTGTCGGCACTCGATAATGATGCTCCACAAATATATTTTCAGAAGTTTCGAGTCATGAAAGCCAAAATACAAAATTCTTTTAAACACTTCTAGAAAAAAATGTATAAAATTCATACATGAATCGAAGATTATTATTACCATAAGCCTCTGATTTAAAAAAACAAATGTCACATTAATACCAAAAATGTTTAATTTATCGTTGCAAGATGATTCACCTGTTTCCACCCTCACCTGAATGAAAGATGTTCATAATTACAATTCAGTTGTCCAGAAGGAGTGTTGGCAACGGCGGTTAATTAGTTGGCAAGAAGAGAATTAATTGGCAACGATGCACGAAGAGCAGCCCTGACATGGGAAAACTCACCACTGTGCGCGATACGATTTTTCGAACAATAGCGGCTGGCAAACGAACCGCGGCCGAACAAAAAGGGAATTTCTGAATTGACATCGTCAAAGGATGAAAAAGGAGAACGCTCTTTGTCCC